ACCAACTTTGCAGTCCAGCATATTAACCCACAGCGCCACACCAGAACTCCCTGGTTAATATTACCATTGTATAAAATGGATTTTTTAAAATTCTAGAATAAATTGCTAAATTACATTTACTAAATTCATTTCAATCGTCAGATAATCCTTTAGACTATAAATATGATTGAAACTTTAAGCATTCTTTCTTACTCTTGACTTTCATCAGCATATCTGGATTCATGACCTCAGGAAAATGCAGTATTTGGTAAGAGATCATAGGTACTAGGATCTATCTAAATGATACTAATACTGTTTAAATAAAATGTGAATTGTATATTTTAAAGATACTATATAAAACAAAATCTGGGTTAAAATCAAGTAAATAGTATAATGAATTAATTCTTTTAAAATCTACCCCCAGATTAGCATTAGGTCTGTATTCAGAATGTTTCCTGATTAAAAATTCAGCTGTTTTTTCCCTTGTTGAAGATCCGGATTGTTAAGGAAATCCAAGCAGCCTTGCATCTTATTATAATTGTTGAAAAAAAGTAAAAGAATTCACTGATATATTATGATGCTTTGTCCCAATGTAACTCTCTTAAATTCGCATTTGATTTTAAAGAATAAGGCATAAGAAGATAAAATTTTGGACAAATAGATTGAAGTGAAGTGATTCAAAATGATGTTGATTTAGAAAACAAAATAGTATTTTGAAAATAGTTAAAGCAAAACCACTCATATGATTTTTAAACTAATTATATCTTTAATAAATCCTTTTCCACTCATATTCTCATTTTATGAAAGATGCTTGTGAGGTTATTCATAAATTGAATTTTCAGAAATCATATTTTTGTATGTAACAGAAAGATATCCTGACTTTTAGAACTCAGTGGAAGCTTTCTTTGTGCCATAAATAATAATCAAACTGCTTTGTAAGTTCAGAATTCCTCATTTTGTTGTTGTTGTTAAGTGCCATCGAGTCGGGTCCGACCCATAGCGACCCTGTACAGGGTTTCCGAGGGTGTAAATCTTTACGGGAGTAGAAAGCCTCATCTTTCTCCCGCGGAGCAGCTGGTAGTTTCGAACCGCTGACCTAGGATACTAAATTATCTTAATATAGACAATACCAGAATAATGAAACTGCATAATGAATTGCTGGATAGTAAACATATTTCCCAAACTACATTGTTGTTGTTGTTGAGTGCCGTCAAGTCGGTTCTGACTCAGCGAATCCTGCATATGATTTCTGAGGAGCGGCTGGTAGGTTTGAACCACCGACTGAGATTCAAACCGACTTTACAGTCCAGTGCATTATCGTGCAGTGCTACATCAGAACCCCATTAATGCACTAATAATGTCATTTGTTATTGCGAATTGGTTTAATCATGATTTGATAGATACTTAAGGATCAGTAGTAATATTTATTTAATAAGAATTTATAGGATCTTTCATATATTACCTTTAAAATGTGTTGTAATATCTTAAAAGTAATTCAGAGTGTACTTTTGTGTCATATTCTGAGTTTTAGTGTATCTTAAATTTCTTAAATGTAATATGACACTTAGATGAGAAAACTTGCTGTGAAGACTCCTTTCTTTAGCTTATCAAAAATCACCCATTTCACAGATGATTTAACTTTGATTAACCTACCATTGTAACAGATTATTCCGACAACTAGAATTTCATTCTTCGGTGTTATTTCCAAATGCAGCTTAATTTACAGCACAGGTTTTCTTTCTACCTCACCAAAATACATCACAATTTTGATGTTAACTAAAATTCAGTGGTTCATTAAGCCAGGTTTTAGCATTCACTGACAAGAGATTTGTCATTCTAAAAGTAACTGCTACTTGTATGGACTCTTTACTGCTCAGTTTATAACCTTGGATTCACTGTCAGAGAAAGTATGGCGTTAACCACTTTGCATGGTGTAATGAATATTCATCAATAAATTGACATGACATGGCAGTCCCATTTTTTAGTCTTGCTCTGTTGCACTCCGTTCCAGTTTTAAATATATTATAGTTTATCATATAGTAGGGACTAGCTTTAGAAAATCCTTAGAAGTATAATACTGTATTTTTGGTAGTGTTAATAATACTTTAATAGCTATCCTATTAGTCTGTAATAAGAGAAGTCTGTTTATTTTCAAGATACATTCTCTAATCTGATGTTATTGATGTTTGGTATTTTTGCCAAATGTTTGGTATATATAGATAATTGTTTAAGAACTATATATCATTTTTATATTCCTTTATCTTAATTACTTTGATGAGACTAAGGTTGAAATACCTAGTTTTTAAACCAGTTTTTAATCCATATAGAAATGGAAGTGTATGTATTTGTTCTAAAACAAAAATCCAAGAACATATATTTAAACAGATGATTATCATCAGCCACAACTAAAATAGTGTATGGACAAATAAGGCATGGAAAATGCCACATAGGAGATGAATATTGATTACTTTTAACATACTTCATTCACATTTTAAATTTCAAAAGGAAGAGAGTCTATAAACAAGATCTTTTCTGTTAAATATGTAGATTATGAGGTCACTTATCACTAAAATACTGACCATATGCATTATGACATGAATTTGACACCTGTCATTGGAAATAGTACTTAGAAGCCATATAATGCAACAAAGTTGAGGGAGAATAATATGTGGATAAGAGGCTGTAATTTATAATTCACAGTGCTTAAGAATGGCCTTTCCAGGGTAACTCAAAAATTCCTCTCTTTGATTTTAGTATTTGCATACAGTGAGCCTTACTAGTAAATAAAATTGATTGGAATAACTGGAAAACATATACATCTTCTTATAGTGAATTTTTAATTGAAGTAAATACCCTATTATTATTCCCCAAGTCAACCTTTAAAATTAAGTATAATTAAATTATTTTATAGCAGTACATTCACAGGTGCCTTTGTGGCAGAATTTTATCCTGATGTTTGAGCAATACATTATAGACTTGCTACTAGTTATACTGTTTTCAGATTAATAACCCATTGTATATGAGAATTCATCTAAAAAGGAGGACTGTCTTTCTGTTTTTCTCTGTGATTATTTTGCCCAAAAAAAGCTTTCATTTTTTTAAGTAGCACAAAAGCTGTAATTGGCATGCTTTGTAAGGAAGTGTCAATGTGCAAGAGAGTGGCGATCACTAAGAATTCTCTTACGTGTTCTTTCCCCTTTGCACCACCGCCTCCTCAGCAGGGTCACTGAGATCACTAGCTTTTCTTGAAATGGCCATTTTCACTGGCAGGTGCATTATACCCTGTATTTTCAGATTGTTTTTCCATTCTGAATGTTTGGCAGGTTGATTGCTCTGGCTGCATTGACGGAGAAAGGGCTGACAAATGTAGTTGGGCTGGCTGAAAAGACAGTGATTACTGTTTTCCTTTGTGGCTGATTGAGGCCCTTGAAAGGAAAAATTTTAACCTTCACCATTTGGTTCAAAAGTATGAGCATATATTGAAATCATTCGTGCCATTTATCGTAGTTCTGTAAACTTGTCAGAACGTAAAAATCGCTCAATTTCAAGTAATGTAGGATTGGCATACGTCATTATCATTTTGATTAACTTGGAGGTTGTATCATTGTGTGCATTATACAGTGTCATTTAAAGCTTTCTTTCCTACAGGTACAGTTGTATTTTTATTGCTTATACTATAGAGTTAGAAAGATTTTCATAGCTCTCTATACCTAACACTATGTGTGTGGTTTGGCAGCTGGTGTGGCCTACAAGCTGCATTTTGTTTGCAGGGTAAAGGCTTGTCTGTAGGCCTCCTGGAGTGCTAGTAATTGCACAGGCTCACCATTGGGGAGAGACTGGATTGGAAGCAGTGAAGCGGAAGAATGTTATGCCATCCCATTGCCACCTTGTACAGAAAGACACAATCCCAGCAGTGCCATCTGGTTGTTGCTATCTAGTCAGCTGGCCTGGCTGCTGGGACCATGACTTGGCAGCTGGTTTCCATCCTTGACCATTCTTTTGTGAATGTTGTATGTACATGTGTTTTAGAGAATTCTGAACATGGGTCAGGGCAATGACTGTAACTCTCTAACAAGTCCCCTTACTGAATAGGCTCTCGTTACTCGAGGTGCACTCCGCTGCAGACGCCTGCTGCCGTCCCTTTATAGACAGATGACACATCTGTTTAGGCAATAAAAAGAAACATTTTCTTCTTTAAAAAATTCATGTCAGGATGAAGAGAAAGAGAAGGTAGGCAGGATTGTATGTTTTATAAATTATCATTTTATAAATTATTTTAATTAGACATTTTAAAAGAAATGGTTTCAAGTTACTTCCTGGCTGGGAATATGGGAGAGGATTTAGTAATGACTAAAGTCTTAAAAACATTGTATATTATGCCAATATATATTTTTGTTCAAACTAAGAAAACATTTTAAGTGTTTATTGCTGCATCATGTACTTGCATGATAATAAGACTTGCATTTAAAATGACAGAATAGAAAATGTGGTGTCATAGCTATTATCTTTAAAATCTGCCGTTCAAATAGCAACCTGAGAGTTAATGTAAGCCATCTTTATGCCATAAGAAGACCCATTAGACACTGATGGTTTCAGATCACAAGTAAGCAGCCAGCTCTGTAGGCTATTTTAGACATTTGATTTACTTCATTCTATAGCATTAATGTGTCAGCATGCTACTGAAAACTCTGCTGGAGTTGCAGTGTTGTCCTGTCCTGAATCATAAATGCTTGCAAGCTTTCAAGGATTTCCATAAGGAATTGATTCCCAGTTGCTTATGTATCTTATTTCAGCGTATGTAACTACAGAATTAGGTATGTCTGTTGATGAGGGTATACATAGACTTAGGTTCTGCTTAATTCTTTCTTTAAAAATGATTGGTAAGTATTTATTTATACACTTTCTGTCTTGATGGTTTGTTTCGTATTTAGGAAGTTGTGATACATTCTGAAATATGACCTCAGAAAAAATGACCAGCTATTTTCATGAAAATAATTTTTGTCTTGTTCTGTTTTTTTCAGATGAAGAGGAAGAAGATGATGTTGTGACTCCTAAACCACCTATTGAACCTGAAGAAGAGAAAACTTTAAAGAAAGATGAAGAAAATGATAGTAAAGGTATCGTAAAGAATTTAACTAAAAACAAGTCCGATGATTCTTGTTGAGATGTGTGATGTAAGTATTAAAATGCTGCAAGTCAAAGAGGTGAATTTCATTGAAAAAGAATGTGTGGCATTCATTGATCCAAACTGATAGTGAGCTGACATGATTTGACATAAATCAGACTTCAGAAAACTATTTGTTTTCCAGCTCCCCCTCATGAGCTTACTGAAGAAGAAAAACAACAAATTTTACACTGTGAGGAATTTTTAAGTTTCTTTGATCATTCTACAAGAATTGTAGAAAGAGCTCTTTCTGAGCAGATTAACATCTTCTTTGACTACAGTGGGAGAGATTTGGAAGACAAAGAAGGGTAAGGTTTAATTGCTAACATTATAGCTTCAACAGTGTTAAATTATAATAAATAAGAGTAAAAGTGATATAATACCATGTTTGTTTTGGATTTGGTCTTTTTCTGTAGAGAGATTCAAGCAGGTGCTAAACTATCCTTAAATCGACAGTTTTTTGACGAGCGTTGGTCTAAGCATCGTGTTGTTAGTTGTTTGGATTGGTCATCTCAGGTAAAAAAATAACAAAATTGGTTACTGTTAACTCATGGGGACTGTTTGTCACTACATCAATATATAGAATTTGAAATAATAGGATGATGTTTCTAATGTTACCGTATTCATTTTGTCTTACATATTGTGACACAATTGGAAACATTATCTATGTTTAAAATTCAGGACTTCATTTAAATCACAACCCAGTTTTACTAACTTCAGTGGCTCACCAAATTCTTTGGGCAAAACTTTAGTGCATAATTTTAATATAATATTTTAATATTAAAACATTTTAAATCATTAACTACTGATTTTTAAATTGTACTAAGTTCCCAGTGAGCATAACTCAAGATATCTTTCTTGGTAAAGATTCAGATTCTTGTATTTTCATAATTATGTTATGAAAGCATCTGAGTAACAAAGAACATAAAATAGTTCTTATTTATGCAAAGAATTTCTTTTCTACTTGATTCTTGTGAACAGTATCCAGAGTTACTTGTTGCTTCCTATAATAACAATGAAGAGGCTCCTCACGAGCCAGATGGTGTGGCCCTTGTATGGAATATGAAGTACAAAAAAACTACCCCAGAGTATGTGTTTCACTGCCAGGTAAGATGATTTTAGCAGTCTTCTCCAAGTTTAAGAATTCATTGATGACTTTAGACAAATGCCTTTTTTCTTTCCTTGTCAACATAATGATTTCATTGGATTGGCATTTAACTAAATCACTCCATATTTGCAAACAGATGTTAACAGAAAACTGAAAACTTCTCAGTTCAGCATGATCTGCCTTTTGTAGCTTTTCTGACATCTCTTATAATGTTTAATCACACCCAAAGTCTTTTGCAGTTGTGATTTTCTGTGATTGTGATTGATTGTATAAGAGGAATCTTTTATAAAATGCCTTTCCTATAGGGAGTTTCTCAGGAACTTATTTGTTGAATATACAATTAGACTAGTCTGCCCACTGAATTACTTATACATGGCCTGAGGAGTTGGAACTAGATAGTTTTAAGTAGAAACATATGTCTCAAGAAGAAATCAAATGCAGATTTTAAAAGTCGATTTATTGGAAGGTTAGATTTAGCAAGCCTTTTCTGATTGCAACATTACAGTCTTTCAATAATGTCATAATTCTGGGGGGGTGGGGTGGGAATAACAACAGTTAACTGAATCAAAGGTAGCATATACTTGGCTGTCCAAGGCTGTCACAGAGCCAGTTATGTTTTGATTTAATGCTGTAAGCAGATAGAATAATATTTGCTTCCTTTGAAAAATTGCTTTAAAATATTTGTATAAAAAGTCATTACATATCACTTGTTAGCCAAAAATTCTGAAGATAATACTTTTATATTCCTGAAATAAACTAAAATTGTTAATGAATTTATTTCATTGTTTTTATAACCTTTAATACTTCACAGTAAAGGAGGAAATGTCTTAGATAGTGGATTTATTTTTATAACTTGTCCGGCTTCTTCCATTTGAATTTTTAAAATCTTGCTTACTTTTAGTCAGCTGTGATGTCGGCTACATTTGCAAAATTTCATCCAAATCTAGTTGTTGGTGGTACATATTCAGGCCAAATTGTGCTTTGGGATAACCGTAGCAATAAAAGAACTCCAGTGCAAAGAACTCCACTGTCAGCTGCTGCACACACAGTAAGTAAATAAGATTATTTCCATTACACTTCTCTGCTCCTTCCCATTAACTGCTTAGTAGTGTCCATCAGAGTAGTCTCAGAATGTGCTTCCTTTGAAGTATGAATTCCTCATCATCATTTAGCAACCAGGAATGAAGGCTGAATTCTGCTTTATTAGAGACTCATCTTCTGAGGTGGATATTTTGCTAATCTAAAGAATCACAGAAAACTTCACATGAAAATACCATCAAGTTACTTGAGACTGTTTTCATATAAAACATAATGCCTGTGATAAGACAATTTTTTTTTAATTGTAAAATAACTGATTTTTTCTTTATCTCTCCTTAGCACCCTGTGTATTGTGTTAATGTAGTTGGAACGCAAAATGCTCACAATCTGATTAGCATCTCTACTGATGGGAAAATTTGTTCTTGGAGCCTGGACATGCTTTCCCATCCACAAGTAGGTTTAACTTGGAAAACTGACGTTTTAAAGCAAGTATCATTATTATTCAAATATTTATGTATCCCAGCTTATGTTTTTTATGAACTGTTTTATAATAGTATTATTAACAGTTTAAAAGCCTAAATATAGACTGCTGTGTATCTATTTTACTAACAAACCTGCTTCATTTAATCATCATTGTAGGTTTATGTAAGTAGTAAAATAAAATAATTATTCATAAATTAGCTAAATTTTCTATAAAAATGAAAAGTTGGCAAGTTTACAGAATTCCTTTTTTTTCCAATGGTAGGATAGCATGGAGTTGGTTCATAAACAGTCAAAGGCAGTAGCTGTGACATCCATGTCCTTCCCTGTTGGTGATGTCAACAACTTTGTTGTTGGGAGTGAGGAAGGCTCAGTGTACACAGCATGCCGTCATGGCAGGTAAGGCTAAACTGGAATTTGTCATTATTTCATATTCTCTCTTCAGCCATTTCATTGAAACAAACCGCTCCATGTTTCAGTAGAAGTCTGTTTTAGAACCACTCTGTATGTGACAAAATTAGGTATATTCAGGCTTCTAAATTTAAAACTTGTAATACTTTTTGTTTTTTTAAGTCATTTTTGAATTCATGGTATGTCTTCAATTTTGTGGGTTGTGGTGTATTGGGCTTTTTGTACATGTATATGTATACACAATAGTAATTAGTGACAGAAGGCATATTCAGCAATTCCAAATGTAATAACCAACCACCCATAAAGTTGTAAATAAGATTACACGCTATTTTCCTCACTTTGATTTATTTGGACTTTGAACGTTAGTTCAGTCTTCCTGATAATTGTATAGTAATGTCACGTACATGTTTTAGATTGACTAGTATTTCTCCTGCTGTTCAATCTGTTCTGAAATTGTATAGCTGTACCTTATCAATTGCTTCCTTAAATAAAATTGATTGTCCAGATTTCATCTCAAATACAGCTCACCTTAACTTTAAAGCTTTTGATTTAAAGGAAGGTAGCCCAGATTGTCTTTCTTATAGGAAGCATCACTTTGTCGGTATTCCACCATCTCTGATGTTGGACTTTTAGGTTTTTGTTTTTTGATAGTTGGTTTTTGTTTTTGTCAACAGCATGTTTATGGTACCCGTATGTACTTACTACTCTAGTAGTACAAGCTCATTTCATTGCACTTCACAGTACTGCGCTTCACAGATACTATATTGTTTTCACAAATTGAAGGTTCGTGGCAGCTCTACATTGAGCAAGTCTTTGGGGCACTGTTTTTTCCAATAGCATGTGCTCATTTTAGGTCTGTGTGTCTCATTTTGTTAATTTTCACATTATTTGAAACTTTTTAATTAGGGTATTGTATACTTAATATATTACAGTATAATGTCAACTTTTATATGTACTGGGAAACAAGAAAAACTGTGTGACTTGGCTTTATTGTGATACTCACTTCACTCATTGAACCTGCAATATCTCTGAGGTACTACTGTATTGCTAAATCTGGATAGAATAACAATAAACTTTTAAGAGTTGAAGTTTGTTGAAATCAGGTCAAGATCTGATATTTAAACTCATAATAGATTGCATTTATAAGTGGTATGCTAATAGATTTCCCTAATGTTTTCACTTTTATGAAATAGCAAAGCTGGCATCAGTGAGATGTTTGAGGGACATCAAGGACCAATCACTGGCATCCATTGCCATGCAGCTGTTGGAGCAGTAGACTTCTCACATCTTTTTGTCACTTCATCATTTGACTGGACTGTAAAACTTTGGACAACTAAGGTATCTAAAATACAGATGTTTGCTCATTTGCTCAAGTTTCTGACACAAGGTGGTGCTCTAATACTGCATAGAAAAGATTAAAAGCTTTCAAATAGCTTACAATTATCTATTGATAGATCAACCCTGAGAAAAAAGGTTACACAGAACATGAATGAGCTTTTGGATGTTACGGTTTTCATAAAAGTATGCTGGCTAATATGGAAACCTCACATATGCCATTCTGTCCACGAGTTGAGGCTTTGCAAGCACAGAACTGTTTACCTTGAGTGAGTTGTACAGGAAGAAGCCCCTGATGGCACAGGGCTAAGCCGTTTTATTTTGTTGTAAAAAGGGTCATTATGATTTGGAACCACCTCCATGGCACCTATCACCTTCAACATCGTGCATAGCACCTCTCACAGTTGTGATAGTATATCACAAATGCCACGCATCGCTCCACAGAGCTTGTAAAGGATTATTCAGCACTGTAGTGCCTCACAGAATTGATGGAAAAATGAAGAAAACTAGCTGACATGAAGGTTCTGTACGATAAAGTTATACATAAGAAACTTGAGTCATTAGGAAAACCTGGTGTAAAGGCATGGAAGCATTTTTTCCCTTGTCTCCTACAATAAATTAGTTAGTTTTGATCTTAATAAGCTTTGGTGGTGGTGGGTTTGTTCCATGGAGTCAGTTCCAACTCATAGCAACTCTCTATAGGGTTTCCAAGGCTGTAAATCTTTACAGGAGCAGAAAACCTTATCTTTCTCCCCCGGAATGACTGGCAGTTTTGAACTGCTGACCTTAAGGTTAGCAGCCTGACTCTTTGAAAAGCTCTCTTATAAAGTGCTTCCTGATCCTCCAGCAGTTCCACCTAAGTGCAACAGGACAGGAGAATGATTGTACAGATTTCAGTTTTAATTTCTCAATCATCTTTTGGCTAGGAACTAGCCATGTATCAAATTGGTTCCAACTCATAGCGACCCTGTATAGAGTTTCCGAGGAGTGGCTGATGAGTTTGAACTACTGACCCTGCAATTCATCCAAACTTGTGGTCCAGTGCTTATCCTACAGAGCAACCCCAGGACTAAATTCGTGCTTAAGTCTAATAAAGGGAGCATTTTTTTTTTAATGCTTAAAACAGTGTCTAATATGTAATAGGCACTTAAATGTTTGCTTCCTCCTTTTCCTCTTAAAGATGATCAGACAGTGCTTGAATGCATTTAATAAATCATCTGGTTTCTATCTTGGAATGCTCTTGAATTCTGTGTTATTTTAGTGAGTCTTAAACAGAGGAAAATGCAGAGGGAGATTCTCACAAACATAAGCAAAGAAATGCATAATGTAGCTAGTACACCCAAAGCAAGATAGAGAAATTTTGAAAGATGAACAAAGCCAATTGTTTCTGGCTAAACTGCAGGCAGCCTGCAAGTTACCAGATTCGTGGATGTGCTTTTACCTTGTTATTGTTAGGTGCCCTCGAGTCGATACCAACTCATAGCGAACCTGTGCACAACAGAATGAAACACTGCCCGATCCTGAGCCAACCTCACAATTGTTGGCATGCTTCAGCCCATTGATTCTGCCACTTGGCCAATCCATCTTGCTGTGGGTCTCCCTCTTTTTCTCTGACCCTCCACTTTAACAAACAGGATATTCTTCTCCAGAGACTGGTCCCTCCTGACAATATGTACCAAGTATGAGAAATGAAGTTTGGACATCCTGGCCTCCAAGGATCACACTGGCTGCATTTCTTCCAACACAGATCTGTTGGTTCTTTTGGCAGCCCATGGTACTTTCAATATTCTCCTCCAGCACCATAACTCAAAAGCATTAATTCGTCTATGCTCTTCCTTATTCACTGTCCAGCTTTCTCATCCATATGAGGTTATTGAGAATACCATGGCTTGGGTCAGGCACACCTTAGTCCTCAAGCTGACATCTTTGCTCTTCAATACTTTAAAAAGGTCTTGTGCAGCAGATTTGCCTAATGTAATACGTCCTCAGATTTCTTGACTGCTGCTTCCACGAGTGTTGATAGTTGATCCAAGAATGAAGTCCTTGACAACTTCAGTCTTTTTTCCATTGATAAGAATATTGTTTATTGGTTCAGTGGTGAGGATTTTTGTTTTCTTGACATTGAGATGCAATCCATACCGAAGGCTGTGCTCTTTGATCTTCATCAGTAAATATTCTTTCAGCAAACAAGGTTGTATCATCTGCATATCAAATGTTGTTAATGAGTCTTCCTTCAATCCTGATGCCACGTGTTTCTGCATAGAACCCAGCTTCTCGGATTATTTGTTCAGCATACAGGTTGAATAAATATGGTGAGAGAATACAACCTTGTTGCACACCTTTCTTAATTTTAAACCATTCAGTGTTCCCCTGTTCTGTTCGAACAACTGCCTCTTGGTCCATGTACAGATTCCTCATGAGCACAATTAAGTGTCCCAGCATACTCATACTTTGCAATGTTGTCCATAGCTTGTAATGATCCACACAATCGAAAGCCTTTGAATAGTTAATAAAGCACAGGTAAACAACTTTCTGGTATTCTCTGCTTTCAGCCAAGATCCGTCGGACATCAGCAATGATATCTCTCATTCCATGTCCTCTTCTGAATCTTGCTTGAACCTCTGGAAGTTCTCTGTCAATGTATTCTTGCAGCTGTTTCTGTATTACCTTTAGTAAAACTTTACTCACATGGGATAGCAAAGGTATTGTCCAATGATTTCCGCATTCCCTTGGGTCACCTCTCTTTGGAATGGGCACAAATATGGATCTCTTCCAATCAGTTGGCCAGATAGTTGTCTTGCAAATTTCTTGGCAGAGATGAGTGAGTGATTCCTGTTGCCGCCTTACTTTCTTCAAGTTTTATTCCAATTCCTGGTGCCTTGTTCTTTGCCAGTTCCTTCAGTGCACCTTGGACTTTTTCCTTCAGTATCATTGGCTCATGATCATATGCTACCTCTTGAAACGGTTGAACATCAACCATTTCCTTTTGGTAGAGTGACTCTGTGTATTCCTTCCATCCATCTTCTTTTGAAGATGCTTTCTGCACCATTCAATAATTTTCTCAGAGAATCCTTCAATAACAAAAATTGAGGCTTGAATTTTTTCTTCACAGCTTGAGAAATGCTAAATATGTTCTTCCTTTTTGGTTTTCTGACTCCAGATCTTTGCACATTTTATTGTAATATTTGACTTTGTCTTCTCGAGCTGACCTATGAAATTTTCTGTTCATCTCGTACCTTAGTAGACCTTTATATAGACACAGAGACATTGCATGTTTGTTAGGCTGATAGCCTGCTTGCTTTTTCAGTAATCAAAAAGAATTTTAGATCTAGTTGTACTTTTATTTTTGGATGTGTTTTTTAATCACAAGGTTCAGTTTACCAGCCTTCTCTTTGCTTAAATTTAAGACTTCAGCTGCTCCATCCTTAACACATACCCACAGCAGGACTGGAAAATGAAAAGTTCGTCTTGCCTAAACAAGAACAAAACTTATCAGTGATAGCAGTCCGGTTGATACTAGCTTTTGTGGTACTACATAACTGGTTGCTTGGTGGTTGGTATTTTTTATTCTCGTAGTTTTGCTATATTTCAACATATTACTCAACATTCTTCTGAATCAGAAAGACAGTCAGGCATATCTCTTTCATTGCTAATTAAGCTACACATTACTGCTTTCCTTGAGACTTATCTAGAAGCTGCATTCACTCATTCAGTCATGACATATGCCTCTTCCCTGCTCCACACACATAAATACCCCCTCCACAGGTAATGGCCAAAAGATGGTGTAGCATAAAGCAGTGTATTTTCATACATACTCAGGTACTCTCTAAAACTTATCAGAAGAATTATCCTTTAGTCTAACTTTTCTATACATAAATAGTTCTACTCTGTGAAAATTAGAGCAGCCAACAATCTACTGAGTAAATATTTTTATGTTTGGTCATACCCTGACTCCCCCTATCAGTATTTCAGTCTCAGATTTACAATTCTGGTTATTTGTGGTGTTGATGTCTCCCCTCTGTGCTCGCCAGTACGATGGTAATGACTAACAGGCTGTTTTATAATAGTGTCTCTTTAAACATGTTGCCACAATTCCATTTTAAGCTTTTTAAACCAGTGTCTTCACATTTGTGGATTTAACATGCTTTCAGTGTTGTGCTTGTTTTCCTTTACAGTGCTTTCTGACTTTGGAAATTGATCCGTCATACGTTGGAAACATGAATCATTTGTGTCATTTAAAATCTGGTTCTGCTCTAGTAACACAACAAGATGCCTTCTATGTCTCATTTCAGGTGGTTCTCCAAAAATCCTTGGAAAGCTCACTTTAACACTGCCTCTAATTTAGTCCTGGTGTGGCACTGGGTTAATGTGCCAGACTGCAAAGCCATTTGAACTGCAAGGTTGGCAGTTCAAGCTCACCAACTGCTCCTCGGAAACCCTATACAAGGTCGCTATGGGTCGGAATCGACTCGATGGCACTTCATAACAACAATTTAGTTTTAAGTAATATCCTTCTATTACCAGCCAGCCTGTTGATTGGCAGCTGAGCGCTCTAACCAGGGTTCCTTTGTATAGAACATAAACAAAGGCAATTTCCACGTATTGGTACAGGTTAATTAGCCAAGGCATTCCTTCTAATGTAGGTGAAGAAACAGTTATTTCTCAAGTATTAAATCTTTCCCTACTCGTGAGTTTGTAAAAGTCCCAGAATTTTGGTTCATTAAACTGTTTTCATTACTTTTTTTAACTGAGCTATTTTTAGTACAAACCTCTGCCCAACCCCCCAAAAAAATATAATAACAAAAATTTTAAAAACTGCTGCCATGAAATTACTTTTAGTCCTGGTATAGCACTATAGGATCAGCACTGGACCGCAAGGTTGGTTTGAACCACAAAGTTGGTGGTTCAAAGTCACCAACTGCTCCTTGGGAACCTTATATAGGGTCGCTATAAGTCAGAACTTACTCAAAGGCACTTACCAGCAACAACAATAGAATAGAGTA